CTGTGGAGGAGTCCCTTCATCAGCACTCTCAGTGGTGGCGTGATGAATATGATGAGTACAGGTGGTGGGGTGATGAACATGATGAGTACAGGTGGTGGGGTTGATGAACATGATGAGTACAGGTGGTGGGGGTGATGAACATGATGAGTACAGGTGGTGGGGGTGATGAATATAATGAGTACAGGTGGTGAGGGTGATGAATATAATGAGTACAGGTGGTGGGGTTGATGAACATGATGAGTACAGGTGGTGGCGTGATGAATATGATGAGTACAGGTGGTGGGGGTGATGAACATGATGAGTACAGGTGGTGGCGTGATGAATATGATGAGTACAGGTGGTGGGGGTGATGAACATGGTGAGTACAGGTGGTGGGGGTGATGAACATGTTGAGTACAGGTGGTGGGGGTGATGAACATGTTGAGTACAGGTGGTGGCGTGATGAATATGATGAGTACAGGTGGTGAGGTGATGAACATGATGAGAACAGGTGGTGGGGTGATGAACATGTTGAGTACAGGTGGTGAGGGTGATGAACATGTTGAGTACAGGTGGTGGGGTGATGAACATGATGAGTACAGGTGGTGGGGTGATGAACATGATGAGTACAGGTGGTGGGGTGATGAACATGATGAGAACAGGTGGTGGGGGTGATGAACATGATGAGAACAGGTGGTGGGGGTGATGAACATGATGAGAACAGGTGGTGGGGTGATGAACATGTTGAGTACAGGTGGTGAGGGTGATGAACATGTTGAGTACAGGTGGTGGGGTGATGAACATGATGAGTACAGGTGGTGGGGTGATGAACATGGTGAGTACAGGTGGTGGGGTGATGAACATGATGAGAACAGGTGGTGGGGGTGATGAACATGATGAGTACAGGTGGTGGGGTGATGAACATGATGAGAACAGGTGGTGGGGGTGATGAACATGATGAGAACAGGTGGTGGGGGTGAAGAACATGATGAGAACAGGTGGTGGGGGTGATGAACATGATGAGAACAGGTGGTGGGGTGATGAACATGATGAGTACAGGTGGTGGGGGTGATGAACATGATGAGAACAGGTGGTGGGGGTGATGAACATGAGAACAGGTGGTGGGGTGATGAACATGATGAGTACAGGTGGTGGGGGTGATGAACATGATGAGTACAGGTGGTGGGGTGATGAACATGGTGAGTACAGGTGGTGGGGTGATGAACATGATGAGAACAGGTGGTGGGGGTGATGAACATGATGAGTAGGGTCGAGTTTTGGCTCTTGGGCCCCGCCTCTCAAGTCTCAACCCTTACAATAAAAATCTCATTTTCTGTTGCTCTAATCAGCTGGCATAGTAAACATTCAAAAGGACTGAGAGGAGATGCTTTTCCACCCACAGGGTGGCCTGTTTGGAGACCGGGCCGCGGGGCTGTTCATCCCCGGAAGTTACACAAAATAGGTAGGGTTATAAACATATGGAACCGCCTACCCGCCGAAGCCGTAAATGCCAACACTCAGTTAACCTTTAAAGTACAACGGGAAAAGATCATCAAATGGGAAATGAGGGAACCTTCGACAAGCCGCCGGCTTCCTGTCCCCGCCGCGACCACTAGTGTTAGTGGCTATCAGGTAAACTCAGGTAAACTAGGTTTGGTTAAGCACAGTTAGGCTAGGATTAGGTTAGGTTAGGGAAAGGTTTAGGAGTGGGTTAGGTTAGGGTAAGGCAGGAATAGGTTAGGTTACGTAAGGTTAGAATTAGATAGGTTATGTTAGCTAAGAATTAGGTAAGGTTAAGCAAGGTTAGATTAGGATTAGGTTAGGCAGGATTTGACTTCATTAGGTTAGGTTAGGTTACAATTATGTAGGTTAGGTTAAGCTAATTAATGGTTGGATTTGGATTGGTTTAGGCTAGGTTAAACTATGATTAGGTTTGGTTAAACTAGGATTAGGTTTGGTTAAACTATGATTAGGTTTGGTTAAACTAGGATTAGGTTTGGTTAAACTAGGATTAGGTTAGGTTACATTAAGCTAGGTTAGTTAGGAAAGGCTTAGGCTAGGTTTAGATTACATCAGGTTAGGCTTGGATACAGAGAGGTTAGGTCACGATATGAATAGGTTAGGCTAGGAATAGGTTAGGCTAGGAATAGGTTAGGATAGTATTAGGTTAGGATATTATTAGGTTAGATTAAGTCTAAGTTAGGTTATCTTAGGTTAGAATATAATTAGGTTAAGTTAGAATATGATTAGGTTAGAACATGATTAGGTTAGGTTAGAATATGATTAGGTTAGGTTAGAATATGATTAGGTTAGATTAGAAAATGATTAGGTTAAGTTAGACTAGGAAATGTGTAGTTGTGGGTCAAGTGTTCAGCCAGGTTATTGTGACATATCTGCATTTTATGGAAAATTGACGTCCTATGTCGGGTAGGTTTCCACCGGCGCCGGGAATCGAACCCCGGACCACAGGACAACGTATCCAGCGTGCTGTTCCCTCAGCCACCAGCGCCCTGTGTGTGTACTCACCTATTTGTACTCACCTATTTGTGCTTGCGGGGGTTGAGCTTTGGCTCTTTGGTCCCGCCTCTCAACTGTCAATCAACTGGTGTACAGGTTCCTGAGTTGTGGTTGTGTGTGTGGTTGGTTGGTGTGTGTGTGTGTGTGTGTGTGTGTGTGTGTGTGTGTGTGTGTGTGTGTGTGTGTGTGTCTGTGTGTGTGTGTCTGTGTGTGTGTGTCTGTGTGTGTGTGTGTGTGTGTCTGTGTCTGTGTGTGTGTGTGTGCGTGTGTGTGTGTGTGTGTGTGTGTGTGTGTGTGTGTGTGTGTGTCTGTGTGTGTGTGTCTGTGTGTGTCTGTGTGTGTGTGTGTGTGTGTGTGTGTGTGTGTGTGTGTGTGTGTGTGTGTGTGTGTGTGTGTGTGTGTGTGTTTTTATATTCCCCAATACAAAGTTACAGGCAATGAAAAATCATCACCACCACAATGGTTCTGGCTCACATTGGTATCTTTGAGCATAAATTGCTTCCCTATACGATTCCACACATTTCTGTGCGTGCGTGCTGGAGTACACACACACACACACGCGTGGGGTAGAGGTGGAGGCAGGCCAGCCACTACTCTCCCTCTCAACATCAAACAAAACTCAAATGGTAAAGCTATTTCTCACTTTCCTTGCCTGGACGACTGGGAGATTTTCCCGCCACGGTCAGTATTATACACCCAGTTGTGTCTGGATCAACACTGCCTCGGCAACCCTGAGGTCGTGGCTGTTGGACGTGGTTGTGACCGAGGCTGTTGGACGTGGTTGTGGCCGTGGCTGTTGGACGTGATTGTGGCCGTGGCTGTTGGACGTGGTTGTGACCGAGGCTGTTGGACGTGGTTGTGGCCGTGGCTGTTGGACGTGATTGTGGCCGTGGCTGTTGGACGTGGTTGTGACCGAGGCTGTTGGACGTGGTTGTGGCCGTGGCTGTTGGACGTGGTTGTGACCGAGGCTGTTGGACGTGGTTGTGACCGAGGCTGTTGGACGTGATTGTGGCCGTGGCTGTTGGACGAGGTTGTGGCCGAGGCTGTTGGACGTGGTTGTGGCTGTTGGACGTGGTTGTGGCCGTGGCTGTTGGACGTAGTTGTGGCTGTTGGACGTGGTTGTGACCGAGGCTGTTGGACGTGATTGTGGCCGTGGCTGTTGGACGTGGTTGTGACCGTGGCTGTTGGACGTGGTTGTGACCGAGGCTGCTGGACGTGGTTGTGACCGTGGCTGTTGGACGTGGTTGTGACCGTGGCTGTTGGACTTGGTTGTGGCTGTTGGACGTGGTTGTGGCTGTTGGACGTGGTTGTGGCTGTTGGACGTGGCTGTGGCCGTGGCTGTTGGACGTGGTTGTGGCTGTTGGACGTGGTTGTGGCTGTTGGACGTGGTTGTGACCGAGGCTGTTGGACGTGGTTGTGACCGAGGCTGTTGGACGTGGTTGTGACCGAGGCTGTTGGACGTGGTTGTGACCGAGGCTGTTGGACGTGGTTGTGACCGAGGCTGTTGGACGTGGTTGTGGCCGTGGCTGTTGGACGTGGTTGTGACCGTGGCTAGTGGACGTGGTTGTGGCCGTGGCTGTTGGACGTGGTTGTGGCCGTGGCTGGTGGACGTGGTTGTGGCCGTGGTTGTGGCTGTTGGACGTGGATGTGACCGTGGCTGTTGGACGTGGATGTGACCGTGGCTGTTGGACGTGGTTGTGACTGTGGCTGTTGGACGTGGTTGTGACCGTGGCTGTTGGACGTGGTTGTGACCGTGGCTGTTGGACGTGGCTGTTGGACGTGGTTGTGACCGCGGCTGTTGGACGTGGTTGTGATCGAGGCTGTTGGACGTGGTTGTGACCGTGGCTGTTGGACGTGATTGTGACCGTGGCTGTTGGACGTGGTTGTGACTGTTGGACGTGGTTGTGACCGTGGCTGTTGGACGTGATTGTGACCGTGGCTGTTGGACGTGATTGTGACTGTTGGACGTGGTTGTGACCGTGGCTGTTGGACGTGACCGAGGCTGTTGGACGTGGTTGTTATCGTGGCTGTTGGACGTGGTTGTGACCCTGGCTGTTGGACGTGACCGAGGCTGTTGGACGTGGTTGTGACCCTTGCTGTTGGACGTGACCGAGGCTGTTGGACGTGGTTGTGACCGTGGCTGTTGGACGTGACCGTGGCTGTTGGACGTGGTTGTGACCGAGGCTGTTGGACGTGGATGTGACCGTGGCTGTTGGACGTGGATGTGACCGTGGCTGTTGGACGTGGTTGTGACTGTGGCTGTTGGACGTGGTTGTGACCGTGGCTGTTGGACGTGGTTGTGACCGTGGCTGTTGGACGTGGTTGTGACCGCGGCTGTTGGACGTGGTTGTGACCGCGGCTGTTGGACGTGGTTGTGGCTGTTGGACGTGGTTGTGATCGAGGCTGTTGGACGTGGTTGTGACCGTGGCTGTTGGACGTGATTGTGACCGTGGCTGTTGGACGTGGTTGTGACTGTTGGACGTGGTTGTGACCGTGGCTGTTGG